AATTATACACCATGTATATTGCCATGTTCATACCAGCAACAGCAATGTATGCCCTTAAATCCATGTTCAGAACATTTCCCCTAGCACAAATGACAGAAAAGCCACAACAGTAGCAAAACCTTCTTTGTGTTCACCACTATGTGGAGAAGAATGGAAACCCTGGACATTTTTTAACAGACTTTTCAATGATGCACTTTTTGCCAATTACCTGTTTCTTCAGAGAAGGATTTTTTTGAATCAGAAGGGACTCCATCAAAAAATCTCTAAAAACAAAACAAAAGAAGTGCTTAAAGAGCAGTGCTTTAAAAGTAATAGCAAATTATTCAGGTCCTTATATATTACTTTACATGAGAATCTCTCATACACCATATTATCAACTTTAGAGGCAAAAAGACTGGTTTGAACTTAAAATGTGTAAAATATGCCAGAGGCAAGGAGCTCTTGGAGTGCTATCTTTTATTAAGAAATTTTTGCCTTTTGTATAATTTCTGGATCACAGCTACAACATCAGTCTTGTGCTAGTAAAATATTTAATTAACAACATGATTGCCTAGCTATCTTTTTAGTCTCCTCCTCCCATTGGTAAAATTGATTCTTATAAAACTCCAGCATTACATTAAGCTGAGTATTTGACTTGTGGTTTAATTGCATTTTGCTTTTAAACTACCAGCTGTGTTACAGAAGCCTGCACTAGAGAGAACAAAGAGCAGAAGATGCTGTTTAACAATTTCCAAGCTATTTTTCTCAAGGGAGGAAAGTTACCTGAGGATAAGTTTTGTTCATAGCTCACATACAGCCACGGGGGGGTTTACGTTTCCTTAGCCCGAGTGGTAAAGCTCTTGGGAGCTGTTTTCGGTGCAGAGTTCAGCCATGCCGCAGGCAGGGCGAGTCCTGTTCAGGTCCTGCTCTTTTCACATGAACTGACGCCCTTCAAAGCATGCTGGGTGCGTTACCTGGTTACTAAGAGAAACAGAGGAATGAATGGAAGAGTCAAGCTAATCTGTGGCCATACAGATAAAGGAACAATAGCAAAAGAAGGAGCATCAGCCTTTCCCCAGGCTCAGGGCTCAAGTAGTCACATCCTGGTCCCTAGTGGACACATTGGCAAACGCCACATTAGCTGAACTGAGCGACGCTGCCCTTCGAGCTTGGCTGGAAAGGATGCTCCAAGCCAGGACAGAGACACTTTTGCAGTATTATATTGCAAGCTCTAACTAGCACAGGTACCTCTTGTAACTGTCCTGCAGTCCTTGGATGGGGCGCCCAGAACTACTTGCCATTGACCTAATTCTTCCCCCATTGAAGCCCGTGTAGACCTGCCCCCAACCAGGCTGGGAGCAGGGTAAGGCAAGGGAGCACGCTGGTAAAACCCATCCTTCCCGTCTTGATGCTCTGCATCTATTATTTCCTGTCTGTCTGTCACTAAGGGATGAGTATCCAGGGGAGTAAAAGCTTCCAAGAGCTTGAAGATGACAAAGCCACAATACACAAGCCCAGGGCTACAAGGGAAATTGGAGACAGGGCAAGGTGTGTGCAGGCAAGTGGGATGGGCAGAAGAAAGAGAAACGAAACGTGCTCTACCACTATAAAGCCATTTCTAAAAGCAAACTGACCAAAGCATGTAGCAATCGTTTCTACTTCTGGCTCTCACACCAACCCCTTCTATGGCACTGGGAGACTTGTTGCAGACATGCTGAGTACCCCCACCTTCTCCAGATTTAAGTCCCAGGGTGGGGGCTCTAGGCAGAGGAGAGGGGGCATCCCATACATCTCAAAACCAGGGTCTGTGCGGGAGTTGACATTTCCCCTTTTCACACTCCCCTGGCATAGGGGCAGAGCCAAAAGAGGTGGCCGATGGTCTCGCTCATCTTGGTAGCTTACCCTGGGCCAGCAGGGTCTAGTCTCTTGTCTCACTCTGTGCCTCCACACCTTCACTGGGAGCACGCCGTGAGCTATGAGCCAGTTCAAGTCTCTGTGGTCTTTTCTTAGGTCTTTGTGGAAGATCCATTTCCAGCCAGCCTGGCAGTCGTCATCAGGGAGCAGCTCCATGGTCGATAGCCCATCAGTCTCTGACTGCCTTCTGTATCTTCCTGTGGTTGGACATGGTCTCTGGGCTTTTCTTCTGTAGCCCATCCTCGCTCCAGCACTCCTTCATCACTCTGTAAAACCAGAGGTGCTCCATGGTGTACCCCTCCCATAGTCTCAGGAGGTGACCTGTAAAAAACTTGACTAGACAGGCTGTTTTGGTTGCTGGCCCAGTCACCAGCTTGCAGATCTGGCTCTTATACCATGCCTGCAGGAACAGGTGGCTGTCTGGCATCCCCCTGCCCTGGCCCATTTCTTCTTGTACAGGGTCTTTCTTGACACCTTCTCCATTCTGGATCCCCAGAAGATGCACATGGCTGTCCGGACTCTGCCGGTTACACACTTGGGGGAGGAGGGGGGAAGACCAGTGCGGTGTACAGAAGCACTGGTAGCAACACCACCTTCATGAGTGCCATGAGGCATCCCCCCCCATGAAGATGTGGCACACGTGCCACAGACCCAATTTCTGCTTCACTTTGGCCTCCTTCTCCAGGCCCTCCTTCTGCTCAGCTCAGGGTCAAACTCCACCCCGAGGATCTTGACCCCCTCATGGGGGACTGAGACCCCCAGGGACTCTTGGTCCCAAGTTTACCCATGGCCAGGCAGGTGCTCGTGCTCGCATTAACCTTGGCCCCTGCTGCCACCTTGTAGCGCTTATTCCGGCACAGGATGTTCAGGTCGTCCACGTAGGCTGGGACCTTGGTCTCTTCCCTGCTTCCTCTGGGAATCGGGACTCCATGCATCCCAGGGTCCTGCCTGATGCGCTGGGCCAGGGGTTCAACGATGCAGATAAAAAGGATCGGGGAGAACAGGCAGCCCTGGCAGACCTCCAACACGATCATGATCCATGTGCTCAAGAACCCGCTGACCAGCAGCTCGCTGCTAACATCTGTGTACAGTGTTCTCATCCAGCTGGTGAAGGTCGAGGGGACACCCATTTGCTTCAGCGTCTCGAAGAGAAACCCGTGTGACACTGTCATAGGTCTTTTCCAGCTCCAGGTTCAGCACCACCCACTTCTCCCTTCTGTCCCGGTCCAGCTGGAGCACATCCCTCCGTTGCAGCAGGGCTCCGTGGATCTGGTGTCCTGGTACCATGCTTGACTGGTCCTCATGGATGCTGGCACGTAGGACATTTAAATTGCTCCTGGAGGAAGTGACAGGTGTCTGGCTAATGACAAGGGAGGTAGCGCAGTACAGACACCTGACTAAACATCAAGGGTCCCAGACAGCCCGCTTTGCCCTGTTTGTGTCCTGCATCAGGAGTGCCCTGTGGCAATGCAGGTACCTCCTGATGTACAGTCACATTAAGCTTGAGCAAACAGTCTGTGTTAAAATGTTTCTGAGCAAACTCCAGTTCTACTACCGGAAAGTGGTGGGAGAGGACGCAGCCAACTCCACCTGGAAAGGGGACACTTAGCACAGGCTATTCAAAGTCCCCCCAGGAAAGGGGACAGGAAGTGGACAGGAAGAATGAAGGGGACAGCGACACAACTGGACCTGGAGACAGCAAGGAGGACAACGATAGGATCAGTAGCAGCAGAAGCGACAGCAACAGGGACAGTGAACGAACTGAGAAGGGTGCAATGGAAGTCTATGATAGAGGATGCGTACACACACACACACATACACACACTTTAATAATAAAAAAAAGGAGCTGACATTTCTCATTTATCTGGGTGTGTACCAGGACAAGCCTCCTTCAGATTTTCCACATCAGTTGGAAGAGAATCAGGTCCGCATATTTGATTCCCCACTTCTCCAGATGGGTGAAAGGATGCAGCAGAGTCCAGATATTTTGCAGGGTGAAGTTTCTCGGCACCTTGCAAAGCTGAGGTAACCTTTGTGAAGTGACCAGGATGGCAGAGTGCCACAGGAAAGAGCTGCATGGGGCTGCCTAGGTGCTCCAGGTCAGGGCTGTCCCACATGCAGCGCCCAAAGGATCAGCATAAGGCCCACAAGCTCTCACCTAGTCCACCCCACCCCACCCCCAGCTGCTCCTGCCCCAGTGTAGCTTGTGCTTCAAGGGGCTCTGCATCTCTGATGAGCTGAATGGACCCCAACAAGCTCCAGCTGGAGGCAGCATCCTTTCCAAAAATAAATGAAATAAAGGCAAGGCCTTGAGCAGCACACCCTTAACTGGGCAAGCTGCTGCTAATTAAGCAGTTTCTTAATTCTGAGAACCACTCAGAAACCAATGACCCAGGTTCCAGCATACTTGCCAGCTCCACAAGAAACCATCAGACTGCCTTGGAAGGACACAAAAAGTTACATATAGAGGAAAAAATGACAGGAGAAGGGAAGACAAGTTAGGATTTCCAGCAACTTGACACCTGCGTTCCAGAACAGTGGCAGGGGCAGGCTGGCTGGCTCTCTCAGACCAGCAGCTCAAGGAGTCACGCTCCTATTTAAGAACTGGCACAACAGGATTCCTGTTCCCCAAGATTATACTTTGAGTTCAAGCAAAATGGTCACATATAAAACATTTCCCCTCCTGACACTTACAAAACACTAACAGTTGTTTGTTCAAATTTTCAGTTTGGGGCAGACACCAAGCCCACACTGCAGTCCCCAGAAAGGAACAGCTCAGAAAACTGAACATCTGACCGGAGTTGGTTTTGCAACCTTCAACCAAAAGGCAGGATTTCAACTGCCACAATGAGAGAAGTGCTCTCAATTTAGATCAAGAGTTGGTGGAACCAATTTGATTACTGCACCATTAAGAGGACTTGATTTTACTAGAGCAATATGCCTGGATAAGAACTTAAGTTACCCTTTAAAAATCAGCCTAAGTTTTTAGAAGTTAAATGCTTTGAGGTTTGCCATAAGAGGTCCCTTTTTGTAAAGGTTCATTATCATAGGGTATTACTGAGCCCCAATTTCTTCAGCTGTTCACATATGACAATGCAGGTAAGTCATAAGGACTAAAATTTAAAACTTTATTTGTTTTTTTGAATTTTTCCCCCTTTCGGTTCAGAAGTTTAAGCAGATATTACAGCTCAAAATAAAACTTCAACATCTATTAAATTAATCCAAATACAAGAACTAAAAGTAACTTTTGAACTCAACCACCTCAGAAAGACAAAGAAGACCATTTTACACTCATGAAAGTTAAGTCACTGACATAGCAGAAGCTATGCTATACATAGTATTTAAACTGGCAATTGGACAGATTCAGAGAGCTTATAAACATTATTTTCCAGAATTTACATATTACAGAAAAAAATGTAATTGATTCAAAAACCATTTACAATGCTAGTTATTCAGTAAGTAAAAACTTGGGAGTGCTAAAGTGTCTTCAGAAACTGCACTGCAGACAAAGTTAGCGCAAATACCAACAGCAACCACTAATAGAGTCTGCATTTGGAACCTAAAATTTTTAAATTCCCATTGCACAATTAACATTCAACACTTCTTGTACTATCATATCCCATTCAACAAGGATGTTTACTGAAGCCTTAGGTACATAACTGCATAAAATACACATCTCAGAACTGAGTTACTACAGCAGATAGAGCAATTTCCCAGCATCATAACAGTTCATGTTTTCAAAGCACTGTGCAATCAGCCTTCACAGTATCCGTTTGAGAACCCTGTGATAGAAATATTTAAGACATGTTGACAGCATTTCAGCATAGAGTTAACATTTCTCAATCAGTACCTCTTTCAGTGCTACAGCACCCGAAGTTGTTGCACCATTTGATTTAAAGTTGATATTTTGCATGCTGAAGCACATGAACATTTCCTGATCCATTCTTACACCTTGAGGAAAAACTATTAAAGGTGCAAATAGCTTTGCAGACATTAGAGAATTTTTTTTTTTAGCAGCACGGTGTATTAGTGTTTCACACACATCCATAGCAAAAGCCACAACATATATGGGGGTTCATATTCTAAGAATGGAACCATGATGCATGATCTAACTAAATGCACAAATCTGTACTGATCATGTAGACACTTCTTAAACTCTTGACCGATTCTAATTAAAACCAGCACATATATTCTGTTTCTCTCTCCAGAATTCAAGTGTAGCTGTCAGCAGACCACAAACTGCAAAACCAGCATGTTGAAGGCAAGCATATATCAATTTGCAGAGAAAACAGAATACTTCAGGGCTAAAATGATAAGACCTGCCAGACCCTTAATTATGGAAGTCTAACGGGCAGTCCCTACCCAGAAGTTGTTACATCAAAGCACAGAATTGGGGTGACAATGAGAGATTACAATACTCATAATAATTTCCCCAAGTTGTTGAATTAGAGCTGTTTCCTAATGCAGAGGGGGATGCTGTAGACAAGTCTCATAGCAAATTGTTTGTAGTCAATAAGAAAAAAAAGCTTACAGTCACTGTTTTCTACACAGTACTATTTTTCTATGTCTGTTTCCAGTTTTCAGGAACCAATGCATTTTGGCAAATAGAATTAAGTGTAACCAAAACCAAAAGAATTTAAGGTAGAGTCTGACAAGAGCTGAAAAGCATGTTGCAATCTGTGTGTGTAAAAAGGATGCGTCTACCAGTCTTAATAAGCATTTCCATTTCAAACAAAGTCCAGGTTCTAACTTGCAGTACTGAATTAATGCTCTCTGCATGTCAGATATTGACACAACTGTAGAAAAAATAGATTTATTTTTGGAAAAAGGGTTGTTCCTGCACAGACGTTAACAAATACAAAATTTCTGCAAATAGTTCTCTAATGAATATTTTCCTCAGTTAACTACAACCGAAGATGCAAAACTAAAAAAAGCATCTGTCCACTTTGATTTCTTATACTTTTACAGAGCTAATTCTGAATTTACACATTATATCCTAGAACACAGAAATGAGTTTGATTGAAAGTGTCATGGTAGAAGTACAAAAAGCATGCTTACATATTTTTGGTAAGCAAAAAGGACAAGCCGCATACACCAGTAAAAAGCAGTTGCACATGTTTGGAAACAAATTCAAAATGTCCAATTTTTTTCATGACTACCTGAAATAACAGGATTCCATGACAGACAAATTTGTTGATTGTGTAACTTTATTTGCATTTAAAACACTGCCCGCTAAGCCCCTTATCTGAAGAAACCAACACACACCAGGATTTGCTAGCACTGTTAGAATTAGTCTATTAAATTCATTTTTAAAAAGCTATTTAAATTGCTGATTGAGCCAGATTAACTTTTGTAGGCAGAGGTCCTGCTTCTTCATGCTCCTCATTCTTGCATCTCACCACAACAAGAGCAGAAGTTGGGTATCTGTTCAGTTTTTGTTCATTCATGTACTCCAGGTCTCCATAGATGCTGAGTTTCTGAAATAACAACATTTATTTTAGAGCTCATTAGACTCTGGACACAAAGTAAAGCTCATTTGGAGTCTAACTTGGAACATGAATTGTTTCTCAGTAAGTTTCTACAATCCTTAAAAGCAGGATTTCAACATATTACCTATTTTTCCACAGCATCTTAACCTCATGTATGCAGAGCCAAGTCTAAATCCAATATGAAGCTTACTTGTTCATTACTGCTTGCATAAAATTAAATGCATTACTAGAAGACCAACAGGAAGACCATGCAAGAATCTCCTTGTGCAAGTTCCAGTTCAGTCAAGCTTTCTCCCCTCCTTCAGTCAGATTCCTGGTATTAACCCACCATATTTATGCCATTCTATTTTTTTCTTTTCATATAAAGACCCCTTTACTGCATTGTTTCTCAACATGTGGTATGTGTACCCCTCGGGGAACGCGAGACATGGGAAGGGGGTACGCGGGTGCTGCATTTTGGTCCTTGCCTGCTCGGGCCAGAAGTTCCAGCTGCCGCCCCTCCCGCCATGTCCAGTGCACCGGGGCTTTCACTCCCCACTGTCAGTGTGCTACTAGATAGGGAGGGAGGCCCCGTGCAAGCTGCTTTGCCCCAGGCCGTGGTGGAAAAAGTGGGACTCGGCTTGAGATGTCGAAACCGGCAGTGCCACAGTGGGACTCCTGGTTTCGCTTTTGCTGCACTGATCAGCAGGGGGTACATAAGGTACCAAAGGTTGAGAACCACTGCCTTAGTAGATTCCACATGTAATCATTCCAATGCAAGTATTGGCTCTAACTCCCAAGAAAACCAGCAAAAGTTGCTTCTAGTGAATTAAGGTGGGTTTGAAGGAGTTTCTGGTTTAGAGCACAGAGAACAGGCCAACTAGAAACTGGAATATCTGGCTTAGCCGGCCAATCAACAATGTGCTGGGGCACTTAGCAGTCAAAAATGAATTAGCTTCATTGTTCTGTAGTTATCACTTACATACATCAAAGAGCTATCTAGCATCAACATCCACAATCTCACATCTCTACCACCACGAAGTACATGTTAAAAAACTTTCCAACGGAAAAAGAACCTTAAGTGTGTCCAATGGACCAGATCTTTTCAGAGATAAAATAATGTGAGCAAGAACAAGGTGCTGAAAGTGACAAAATAAAAAGATTACCTCAGGTGGAACATATTGCTCCACTGCTGTGGCAACAGTAGCACAACAAATCCAGAGCAGTACCAGCACAGAGAGGACAAGCGTAGTGGTCAAAATCCAGCTGGAATTTCTGAAATTTCACAAGTGTGTTGTTGAAGTTAGCAGATTAAGGCAGCAGGGTATTTCTAAAAGCCATTTTTCTTGGCTTTGATGCGATGTTCACTAATTTTGAGGTCTCCAGTTCAAATCAACTCTGCACCCCACTGGAAACTTCTGGGAACTTTCCCCACCTTCAGCATCCAAAGATAAGCAGAACCCAATGAGTCTGGCAGCCTCCATACTAAACCCTGAGCTACTTCCAATTTCAGATTGTTTAGCACCTGACTTTCATAGCTGGTAGGGTTGGAAGGGACCTGAGCAGATCATCATGTCCAACCCCCTGCCGTGGCAGGAAAGAGTACTGGGGTCAAATGACCCCAGCAAGGTGTTCATCCAGCCTCCTCTTAAAAGACCCCCAGGGTAGAAGCCGGCACCACTTTGCTTGTAAGTTGGTTCCAGATCCTAGCCACCCTGACCGTGAAGTAGCGCCTCCTGATATCTAGCCTGAAATCTGCCCTCTGCCAGCTTGTGACTGTTATTCCTAGTCACTCCTGGTAGTGCTCGGGGGAACAGGGACTCCCCCAATGCCTGCTGGTTCCCTCTGACTAGTTTGTAAATGGCCACCAGATCCCCCCTCAGCTTTCTCTTGTGGAGGCTGAACAGGTTCAGGTCCCTTAGCCTGTCCTTGTAGGGCATGCCCTGCTGCCCCCGATCATGCGAGTGGCCTCCTCTGGACCCTCTTTATGTTGTTCACATCCCCCCTGAAGTGCGGCGCCCAGAACTGGATGCAGTACTCCAGCTGCGGCCTGACCAGTGTTGCATAGAGGGAGAGGATCATCTCCTTGGACCTGCTCGATGCATCTGTGGATGCGTGACAAGGTGCAGTTAGCCTTCCTGACTGTCAGCCCATGTTCATTTTGGAATCAATAATGATTCCAAGATCCTTTTCTGCCTCTGCACTGACGAGAAGGGAGTTCCCCAACCTGTAGGTATGGTGCTGGTTCGTCCTCCCCAGGTGCATCACTCGGCAGTTGTACGGGTTGACACCCAGCCTGGTCTCATCCACCCACTCC